GCTACTCTTCTGTACAACTACTTAAAAATAACATATATTACACACATATATGTATGTGTGTTATATGTATATATATGTACATATATATATATATATATATATATATATATATATAATAATGCCATGAAATAAGCAACCCAAAAAAAAAATGCTCATGAAGGAGGACATATTGATTTGAAGTTCTGCTTGTGACTTGGCAGAAGGAATTTCAAATCCCAGCTCTGTCTCTTATAGCACTGTGGCCTTGGGCTTGTCATTTCTTTTTGTTTCTTTGGATTTTTTGGTAAGTCAAGAGGCTTGAACTCAGGGCCTGGGTGTGGACCCTGAGCTTTTCTGCTCAACTAGTACTCTACCACTTTGAGCCACAGGCCCACTTCCAGTTTTCTGGTGGTTAATTGGAGATAAGAGTCTCACGGACTTTCCTGCCCAGACTGGCTTTGAACTGTAATCTTCAGATCTCAGCCTCCTGAGGCCGTAGGAGTACAGGTATGAGCCACTAGCACCCAGCTTGGACTTTTTAATCTATGAATAGGAATACCAGCCGCTCCAGCTGTCTCCCAAACATAGCAAGGTGGCCACTATGGACATTGGTCAACTAAGAAAACAGATTCCTGGCTGTCCCCAGTGCCCATCTCATTCTTCCATAGCTTTATCATCTTGGAAAGATATTTAATGTTTCGTCACTACATTTTTATTGTTTGATTCTGGTTTTTTAGAGACAGGATCTCACTGTCACCAAGTTTGGTCTGGAACTCACTTTGCAGCCCAAACTGAACTTGAATTCTTAATCTTCCTGCCATACCCTCCTGAATTCTGGGAGTACACGTTTGGGTACCATACCCAACTCAGCAAGGTTTTATTATTTGTTTTCAATCTTTAAGTTAATGTGAAAATCAAATAAATCAATTTAGAAAGTTTCTGACCCCTAATATAAGTGTTCAATAAGCCTAGAGATCCTGGTAATGTGTGGATGAAGACTTCTTTATAAACTACATAGGGTGGGTACAAGGCAAAAGAGGTAGGGGAAGGAGCACAGAGCTCAGCATCAACATCTTTCCTCTTGTAGTATTTACTGCATACCTGCTATTGGTGATACTAGGGCTCAGGAGCGAAGAGAAAAGCAAGGAACAGTCGGTTCAGTGGGATGTATGTATGCCCCTATAGGGGCTGAGGGCCAATGCTGAGACATATAGGACTTCTCAGATGACCTAGCCCTCATTTCCCTAGCCCTCATTTCCTGTATGTAACACTCCAATAACAAACTCTCCTGGCTATTTCACATGCATCCAGAGAGAAAACAGGTGTGATAGTGGGTGTGGATGTATGTGGACATCTGGAGATCCTGCCTTAGCCTTGTGGTCCAGTACTGGGAGTCGGGGATCTCAGGGTGGAGCCTGCTTTCTCCAGCTCACACGGCTCACTGTGTGGCCTCTGGCAAACCCTATCCTCTCTTCCCTCCCAGGAACCCTGTCACCTCTCCTCTGGTATATGATGAAGGTATAGGTGAGATCAGTGGACCTCAAACTGGGCTCCAGTGTACCCATGGGAGTCCCTGCTCCAGCTTGCCTCTTCTACATCAACCAGCAAAGTTTCCATTTTTATCTGTGTCCCATTTGGAGTTCTAAGTAAGGTTCTTTTGGAAACCAACAATAGCAAAAAAAAAAAAAAAAAAAAAAAAAGATTCCATGACTAAAAAAGGTTTGAAAACCTCTGGACCAGATGACCTCTAGGGACACTTCCAGCCAGCTCAGAGTTGAGAACACTTGCGTCTATTTTCCTCTGCATTTTATTTAACAAATATGTTTTCCATGCACTTACTGCATGCCAGGTCCATTCTTAACACCCTACAGATTGTAATACACTTAATCCAGTGGAACACCTCCCAGCTGCGTGAGGGCCGCATGATTGCAGAAATGACTCTATGAGTCAGTTAGGATCCAGGGGAGCCATTTCATCTTCTGGCATCCAGGGCAATGACCTCACCTCAGGTCAGCTGGTGCCTTGGTCAGGTGAACTTGAGACACAGTGGGGAAGGTGTATGTGTAGTGGCTGGGTGTGGTTGCAGGAAATCTGTGTGTCCCAGGCCCTCAGAGGAAGGGAACAATCAGCTCAATATGGACACTCTCATCCAAGGCATGTGCTGTGTGAAAGGAAGTGCCTGTTGCCTTAGCAATGTTCACATTGTCCTGTAATCCATCCCTAACCGCCACGCTGCCATTGACACCGTGCACCAGATGGCTGCAGATCTGATTTCAGCAGTGACAACCAGAGCCGGGGGCCTGGAGAAAGCCTGGGGGTTGTGGAGAGAAGGGAGCGGGGGGTATTTTGACCTCACCTCCAGCCAGTTCATTAAGGGGAACAGACCAAACTTGATGTCTCTCACAATTTAGCTCTCCTTCCCAGACACCAAGAAATAGGATATGGGAGAGCAAAGATGGAAGCCATCTCCCCAGCACAAGTTTGGCCCTGTTGCCTGGGCCAGCATTTTGGCCAGGTCAGGTAGTTTTTCTTCAGATTATAAATCTGAACCAACTGGTGGTGGCATGCTCCAACCTACAGTTCAAATGCCAAAGTTTTAGGGTCTGTCCTTAAGGGATTATTGAGTATCCTTGAATTTATGACTGCAGCAGATCTCCATGTACCTCCCTTTACCAGGCAGAGTGCTGAATGCTAGGTTCAAGAGTGAGTAAAATGTACTTGGTCTTCAAGGAGCACCAACCCTATTGAGGGACGGGCAATGAATGACACATGCTTTTATGTCATCTAGGAGTACAGATCCATTTCTCCACCAGGCAAAGAATTTAGAGGCAGAGGAGTAATATAGTAAACAGCAAGTTTATTGAAGGCAAAAGTATAGTACAGATTCTCAGTGGAGAGGGGCCCCCAGCTGGGAAATGGTTGAAGCCCCCTAGAGAAGAAGCCTTTCTGCTTTATTAATTCCTCTCCCTGAGACACAATTGATCAGTGAAGGTCCATGCATTATCCTGGGTCTTTCATTGGTCTCTGCTACTGGGCATGGGCACTGAAGTAAGTCCTATTGGTCAAGCCTGATCTTGAAAGTGGATTTGATTAGTCATGCCCAATTGTGCACGAGGCATTACCTCACTACCCAGGTAAGATTGTGAGCCCAGTGAATTATGGGAAGAAGTGCCATCTTAAGCAGAGCCCGAGGTATGATGGGAATAAGAAGTACCATAATGGAGCACATGTTGTCTGCTATGTGTTATGTCCACCATTTTCTATCCCTAACTACTTAACAGTTCCTCATTCTTTCCCTCATTTATAAGCTATGTTCCCACTCTGGTGGACAGAAGTGAAGTGTATCAATCATCTATCACTACAATATGCTGTGTAATAACAACAGAATCTGCCACTAATATAGCCAGGTCATTGGTAGGTAGGCTCCGCTGAATTTACTGACTTCACATGTCTGGTCTCAAGAGCCCTGACTGGATCACTCTGCCCTGAAGGTCTCTCCTCCCCCACCAGGTGGGCCTGGGCTACTCTCCAGGCAATGACAGATGCACAAGGTAGCAGCAGCAACACTCAAGGGCTTTTCAAGCCTTCCTTTGAGATGGTAACTGAGATCACATTGGCTGAACCAAGTCAGAAAAGGAGGGAGCAACAAAGTCCTGTGGCAAAGGGGAGAGGATAGGATTTGCGGCTATTACAAGGTTAGTCTATCACCCAAAAGGAAAGACCTAATTCAGCTCCCAGGGTAGACAGAAAAGTATCATAGAGGAAGACATCTCAGCAGATCTTGGATAGCCATGTCTAGAGGCCATCGGATGTTTGCTTCTGAAAGATGACTATAACAGAAGAACAGGAGATAGCCGCACGTAGGGCTAGAGGAAGAAGGACTGCAGGGAGTTAGGAGGGGCTGGTGCTGTGGACCCAGAGGAGAATGATGCTTGGGCTTGAGTGGGTGTTGGCTAAGAGCCTGCAGCTTGTCATCTAAGTAGAAGGAACAGAGTTTGCCTAAGGCCTGAAGGCACAGGCTGGGATGGGAAGCAGCATGGACAGGAGGCCAGAAATCACCTCCTGACATTTCACACAGGGATTGCAATACGTTTTGTTTTGTTTTGTTTTTCTCCAACTGTGTTTAAATAACACCATAAATGATTGGGCCCCTCCTCCCCACAGGGTCTGAGATTCTAAGTCCTGTGAAGCTGGCTCCCACTCCAGCCATACTGATTGTATCTTCCCTTCCTTGAGTCTCAGTTTCCCCATCTAAAATGAGAACATTGAACTAGACCATCACCTAGGGCCTTGTACCTGTGTTCTATTAGAACCATGGTCCTTAATTGTTATAGGCAGAAAGTGCTAAGGGAGTCTGTTAGTAAAGGACTTTGAGTCTGAAGGGCAGAGCCTGGGTGACTGATTTCTACATAGCAGATGCCTGGCTGGGCACAGCTGTGTCCCCAGAGCCTGCCATTGTTGGTCCAGAGGATAGAGGAGCTTGAGGACATGCCTGCTAAATGCAAGCAAAGTTAAGGCTCTCAGGGCCATGCTCCACCAGCCTTTCCTGGGTAAGGAAGGCTTCCCAAGCAGATGGGCTTCAAATCAGACTTTGACATTGAGCTGAGCTTGTTTGTTGTTTTTGTTCACTTGATTGTTTTGCTTTGTTTGGATATGCTCTTAACTATAAAATGAGCCTGCTTATTCTAGAAGACTTCTAAGCAAAGGAACACAAGGAGTCAAGAGAGGAGCCCATCATTCCAAGCCCAGATATTTTGCTGCATCATTAGATACAAGGTTGAGACTCAGAGAAGAAGGCAGACCAGCATGGGAAAAGGCCTGGAGACTAGAGCAGGCTAGCCATGCTCAGAGCCTATTGGTTGGACATAAGGAATGTGGAAACATCCTTTGGGCAAGCTGGTACCCAGGCCCACACACCCTCTCTGTTTCAGGCAGTCCTTAAGCTCAGAGCAAAGAAGGCAGGATCTGAGGCCAGCGGGTCTCTACCCATAGCCCTGATGCTCCTCTCTTTCCTTGGCCAGGTGTTGTTTGCCCTGAACCAGACCCTGCTGCAGCATGAGAGTGTGCGGGCAGGAAGCCTGCAGGCCCCCTACACCACAGAGGACCTCATCAAGCACTACAACTGCGGGGACCTCAATGCTGTCATCTTCAATCATGACACGTCCCAGGTGAGTTCCCCTTCCTCACCTATTCACATAGCTTAGAACCAGTCCCATACAACTTTACCTGGCATTTATTAGATACCTATAGTGTGCTGCGCATCTCTTCTCTGCCACAAAAAATAGGGACTATTTTCATAGCCCCTTTTATAGATGGGGAAAGTGAGCCTCAGAGAAGGAAAGAGACTTCTTCAAAGCCATGCAACTTATTAGTTGTTGAATTATCAAGTTGTTGAAATCTGCATTGCTGTAGGGCCTAGGATGTTGGAAGCTTAGCCTAAAAGACTGGGAAATGTTTAAGAGGTCCAGTTTAACATTTGGGGAAACATGTAAACTGAAGGGAAAGCCCACAGTTATTCTGACCTTGAATCTAGCCTAAGATATTCTTTGTCTATTCAAGTCCTAGAAGAAAGATGACAACCAGGCCAGGCAAAGAGTAAGTAAGGAACTGAGTATGGCCTATCTTTGCCCAGACTTTACCAAACTTCCTGTTGCTGTTGGGCAAATTGTAAGGCACTTTGTCCAGGAGTTCGACGCCCTGGACACCTTGCTCTCTGCTTACAGTGTAGATCCCCTCAGGAACCTGTGGTAATGCAGTTTGTCCTCCTGTGCTTCTATGCCTTTGTTTAGGCTCCTCCCTCTTCCTGGATTCTTCCCAGTTGGCCAGGGACAGGCATCACCTCCCCTGAGAAACCTTTCAGATACCCTGGATGGAGCTAGGTCCTCCTAGCCCCTCTGCCCCGCCATGGTTCTTCTTTCGTGATACTTGAATGTCCATTCACTCAGGAAGTACTTGGGTTAGGCAGAGAAGACTACACTTCACTACTCAGGATGTCCATATTTCTCAGGAAAGGAAAGCCAATTTTTGCAGTGGCCTGTGCCCATACTCTTCCCCAGCTCCCACCCCCATGTCCTCTGCGTCTCCCTCTGCATACCACAGCACACAGGCCTCTTTGCTGGTCACTTCTGACACCCCTGCCTTCACACCACAGCTCCCTCTGCATAGAATGTCTTCCCAGGACTCACTGTGGCGGCTCATTCTCCCTCATAACTCATCTTTAACACTTACCTCAACTATCATCAGCTCAATGAGGCTCATTCTATCTACCCTATTTATCAGAAGTGCACCTTGTCCTCTACTACTAACTCAGACCATTTTCTATGCTCTGCTGTGCCCCCATAGCCTGGAATATCCCAAATTGCAATACATATTTGTGCATTCATCAGTGACTAACATCTGATCCTCTCTACTAGAAAGCAAGCTCCATGAAGACAGGACTTGAATCTGTCTTATTCATTGGATTATCCCTAACTGGTTAAAGCAGTCTGTAGCCCGAGCAGTACTCAATAACTATTTACTGAATGAATGAATGGATGAACTTGATTATAAATGCCAAGCACATGGTGCCATGCAAAGGGACAGGAAGTAAAACCAGACAGCCCTTGTGGGGCTCCCCTTTCATTAGTGTGAGAGGAGCAGAGGTGTTTCCTGCTACAGGAAATTTAGGTGGGACTGGTATAAGAAGGAAGGTTCCTGCAAAGTGAGTGGCCACAGACAAATCTGAGGTGGCCACAGAGAGAAGAAATATTCCAGTAGAGAAAGCCACATGCATGTACATCAGATATCAAGAGAGCAGGAAGTGGGGTGAGATATCAGATCATCAAAGGGGTTCTAGACCAAAGCCAAGATGCTCTGTCTGTGTGTGCTACCCAAGACATGGGCTCACCCAGGGTAGAGTCTGCAGAGCAGAAAGCTGTGCAGCAGTGAGAACACCTGCTGGGGAGTGGGAGCAGAGAGAGGCCAAGCCAGAAGATAGTGCATTCATAAAGATCCTCTGGCTGCAGCATGAAGAGTGACGTGGCATTTAGAGGCCAGAGAAGAACAGAAACAGTCTGGGTTGATAATGATGGACCCAGACATTAGTTATACCTCACCTCTAGCTTCTTGCCTTCCTGCTTCATTGTTCTCACCTTCAGAAAAGACCGTGCCCTGGCCTCTGCAGCCCCCAGGTCACTGGCACTGTCAGCACCTGTCATGGGAGAGAGGGCCATCCCAAGGTCCATCGAGGAAGCCTTGTCTAGGGCCCTGGTCTGCCTGAGGAGTAGTGTAGCCACAAAAATGTCCTGTGCAAACCCACTTTTGAAAGTGAAACATAACTAGGGGTCAGAGCAATTGGCAGGTATAAAACAATCTTCTTCAACCATAAACCTGGACTGTCCTGGACAAACCAGGACTCATGGTCACACCATCAGCCACCAAACCAACTCTTCTAACTTCTCTAAGCATATGCCTCACAGGTTCTTACTGGGAGCTTTAAGGGAACCTCAAGCCCATTCTAGGGGTGTCCATTTTGGCTCCTACCCTGACGCGAGGTTGGATACATGCAAGTTCTCACAACATCTGTTGGCTGGATGGGTTCCAACAAAAGATTTATGGAGACCAATGTCAACAGCAGACCTGAGCACTTGACCATCCTTAGGTTACAGGCCATGGAACAGGGAAGCCTATACTGAAGCTCTTCCCTAGTATCTCACCAAGCCCTGGCCACCCTATCTTTTTGTTCCCCCTATCCTAGACCTCTCCCTCCCTCCCTAGGACTCTGGGGACCTAACATGTCCTCTTTGAAATATTCTCATACGTCCTGCACTTAAACTTGTCATAGGAGATTTAAGACCCAGGACAAGCCTAATGACATCATTAGTTTGCTTCCCTCTCAGCCCTGGCTCAAATCCAGGCCCCATCCTTGGCATGGAGCCAAGGCCCATCACACAAGACATACAGAGAATGTTGGCCAGCATTCGGGCAGCCCCAGGATCCTGAGTGTCCAGCCCAGCTCCTTCATGGCTTTGAAATTTAACTTTTTTTTGTTTTGCCCATGTTAAACATTTTTGGTTCCCTAAGGAACAAATGGGGATGCATCTTTGTACAAGTTCATATTTGTCCATGTATCCAAGTCCTTAAAGGGGGAAGGAGCCTTTGTGGCAGCCTGTCCCATCACAGGGAAGGTGATAAAGCCAGCTCTGTCCCACAGTTAAGTGTTCATAACAGCTGATGCTTGTTCAAGATGTCCTTTGTGCCATACTCTGTGCTAAGTACTTCCCAAAACCTGTCTACATGCGCATTGTCCTCCTCCATGTTACCAGCTTGGAACCTGAGTCTCAGAGAGGCCAAATTACCTTCTAATTATAATGAGGCCTCCCTCCCTCCCCAAGGCTAAGTGGAAAAAGAGAACTCCACACCGCATGGTGCTCACTGTATGTTTCCAGGGCCTGCATTCATAACCATGCTTCCTACAGCTCTCAGCCATTCACTTATCCACTCAGTGACCAAACAAATAAATATTCACCAAGGGTATGTGGTCTCATTCACTCCCATGCCTAGGAACAGAGAGAAGTCTTTGCAAGAGAAGTTTCCAAGTCCGAGATCTTCCTGTTCTCCTCTACTCACAAGTATTTGGTGTTTCCTCTAACTACATCGAGTCCAGTGTGGCCTATTGTGTCAGGGCTGCCAGTCATTCCTTCCAAGGGGGTGGAGAATAAAACACAATTTTTATTGGTATATTTCTAAATAAATGATCTTTGGGCACAAACTCTGTATAATCCTTGATTAGGCACCAGCCAGGGAACTGCCACACACAGCTAAGCAGCTTGCTGTTTAAGCTTAGGGGAGGCTCACCATATGATTGCCTTATTCCCCTTAGGACAGTAAAGCAGTCCCACCATTCAAATGCCTTATCTCCCACCTTACTCTGAGGAACATGCTGGTCATATACCAGCTGACAGCATAGGCAGATGCCCTAGCTTCCAGTGGCCCTCAGCCTCAGTTTCTTTTGACTCTCCCCATTTTCTCAGAAAGAGTGTTGACCACCCATCAGTGGCTCTAGAAGCTATGTGTTTGGACTCCTATTTGGGGGCTAACACCTAAATCCCTAAAAAAAATAATTTCTTTATGCCAGCCCTCCATAGACCTCATCCATTAGTCAGTCTGACCTGGTACCTTATGCTTTGTTACCTGGGGAGTGGAGGGAAGAAAAATAAATGGAAAACATTGTGTGAGCAAGAGCTTGGAGGCAATGATATTAGTGGGTTCAGAGGAGACTGTTGTAACTTAGTGTCTCTGTTTCCTCAGTGGTCACATGCATGTGTAGGAAAAGATGGTACTAGAATACCTGCTTCTGACAAACAGGCTGTACAGGTGAAATGCTGGGGATCAATCACCCCTTTGGGGGCACCCTCTTTATGCAGGCACTGGCAACCTGGAATCACCAAAACTCCACCCTTGAATCTGGAGAGTCAACAGCCTACTTAAAAACACAATGCTATTGACAGGCTACATGGCTGGCTATGATAGGGAAGGACCCACGGTTGATATAGTTGGGCAGATCCCAGGCTGATGCTATTACAGAAGAAGCGTTGGAGTCCTGGAGTTTGGAGTTTTGAAGTATCCTAGGAAGTCATAGAGCCAGATAGACAGATGTTGGTTCAATCATTGGGAAAAACCAAGGTGCCACCTCCTATCACCTCTGGAGTGGGGAGTTCCACATGTAACCCATGAAAAGACTCATCTTTTAGTCCCCACAGTCTCCTCAGTCCCATGTTATAAATGAGAAAAGTGGGATTCATCAATGTGTCCAATACCCAACAGCATCAGAATTGGTGCTGAAGTCCAGACCAGCCTAACTCCATGTGGTTTTCCTGCTGTACCAGGAGATTCAGCTGACTCTCCACATCTCTTGCTAAACTGAGCTCCTTGTACATGCAGGTGCTGGGGTCCATGTTAAAGTGAGGGTAGTAAGGAGATGAGCCTGATCTCAGGCTCTCTCAGCCACTGAGTACTGAGATGGACTCCGGCAGAAACATGAGACAGACCAATACAGCTGTCCAGCTGCTGGAACTCTCAACCTGGCTCTGCCACTTCACTAATTGAGACTTTGCACACATCTTAGGATCCTTTCCACTCTTGGTTGCTCAATCTATAAAACTCAGAGGATAACACTCAGAAGTGAGTGAAACTCTCAGCCTACTGACCAGCCTAATAAAGGTAAGTCACTCAGCCCCACCCAAGCCCTTCCTGCTTCCATCAAGACCTGAAGATGGCCTCTATCTTGCTATTGCAGCTACCCAACTTTATCAACACCACCCTCCCACCGCACGAACAGGTAACAGCCCAGGAGATTGACAGCTATTTCCGCCAGGAGCTCATCTACAAGAGGAACGAGCGCATGGGGCGGAGGGTCATGGCGCTGCTTCAGGAGAACGAGGACAAGACTTGCTTCTTTGCCTTCGGAGCAGGTTTGGGTCCCTGACTTCTACTTCCTCGTGGCAAAGTCCAGGCCCAGTAAATGGGGCAAGAAAAGTACGTGGCACCCAGCAGCAGTGCTGGGACCCTCTCACTTCTGCTGCTTCCAATCAAGGGGTTTCTCATAACAGTCCCTTTGGTGAAGGGAGAGGCCTTGCCAAGTTTAGAATAATTTCTGTGGTCCCTTCAAGCCCAAAGTGGCCACAGCTGAAGTTGGCTTCAACTGTCCAACAGAGTCAGGGTCAAGGCTGAAGGCTGTGTGACTCAATGGAGAGAGGGGATGGGTTCTGGCAGTCCCCAGAGGTGGGTTGCAGATCCCAACTTATCTGTTACTTTCTCAAAGACTGAGTTCCTGTCAGTGGGAATAGTAGTAATAATTATTTGATGGATTAAAAATGTCTTCCTTGGGCTGGGAAGCTGGCTCAGTGGTAGAGCGCTTGCCTTGCACACATGAGGCCTTGGGTTCGATTCCTCAGCACCACATAAGCAGAAAAAAGCTGGAAGTGGTGCTGTGGCTCAAGTGGTAGAGCGCTAGCCTTGAGCTGAAGAGCTGAGGGACAGCGCCCAGGCCCAGAGTTCAGGCCCCATGAACAACAACAACAACAAAAAAAAGTCTACCTCATAAATAGATACAAAGATTAGTGACAACATTTAACCAGCCACATAAAAGGAGCTCCAAATGGCAGCTATGACCATCGTCATAAGCATCACTATCACAATGTGAGACCATACGTCTAATGTATCGTTCTGGGGTGTCTTGCCTCTTCTTGCAAAGGGGAGTCCCGATGTCAAGTGCAGGGCTCAATGAACAGTTCTCTCTCACCCTTTCTTCCTTTCTCCTTAGCTGTCTCTCTTGGTGACAGCCATGGCTACATCTGAGGACAAGATATTATTTTTGCCTTCTTTAGTTGTCATTCTTTGCTCAGCAGCTTATGACAACAAATATTTACTTTCTGCTTAAATTACTTGCCATTTGAGTTACAGAATTCATCTCTTGTTTCATGAAAAATAAAAGCTTGCAGACCTGTTCACCATGGCCTATACCACGATTATAGCTATTATTCTCATCTTCCCTTTCCTGTCTTATCACCCACCCACTCACCCCCTGTACACAGTCAGTCCGAGTCATATGAGTCTCTGTGGATGTCCTGACTTTGTTCACTGTTTGAACTCTGTGCCTCCATTCCGCTCCAAGTGTGTCAAGGACAAAGACCAGAGATACACCTGTCAGGATCACTCTTGCCCCTTCCACACCCCTAGCTCAGCAAGGTACATGGCAGGGACTCAGACACAAATGTAGGCCCTCTGGTACTGCCTGGTAAGGTCACAGTACTGAGACATAAAGAGTCCTGAGCTCATGTTGGAGCTCTGCCACAGACCTGTGGCCTCTGTCAAGTCTTGTCTCCTCTTGCAGCCTCAATTTGCTCTTCTGACCAGGAGTCAGGGCTCACTTGGGCTATCAAGGGTTCCAGGATCTATGCAAACACAGATATTGGAGAAGAAAGGAGTTCTGTCCAGCTCTAGAGGAACTTCCTGGAGAAGCCAGCAAGACAAGATCATGACTAACTGTATAGAGAGGGCAGCCAATCTCTCAGCACAGGTTACCTGTGGGGGTGGGAGGAGGGAGAAGACATGGGTCAGGATAACTTGGAGAGAAGTGTTCACAAGTACCTCTTCTTTACCACCAGTTGTCCCACACTCCCTCTTCTGGGCTTCAGGATAGTACAGCCTCAGCTGACCTCAGAAGGGTCAGAAGGGGAGCTACTTGAAGTCACTCAGTGCCCCTCACCTCCAGGCCCTTCCCAGTACTGTAGGAGACTAGTGAGGGCTGGCTGCCCCCACCTGAGTAGGTGACCCCTACCCTGTCTAACCCAGGGTTACTCAGGGGCCTAGGAGTCGATAACACCAGCTCTCCTGTAGTTGAGGACACTGAAATTCTGAAGAAGAAAAACACAGTCCTGTGGGCAGCCCTGACACACACAGCAAGTTAAGTCCATGGAGACAAATTTCCACTTGAGTTCCACTTTGAAATTAAAATATCACTTTTTTGAAAAATGATGGTGCTAGAAAAGGATTTCAGAGTACTTACTTGGCAGAATAAAAAGCTAGTAATTGTACTTATATCTGCATTCACCCACCGTGTTGTTTAAGATGAGAAAGAATTGAGAATGCTATTGAATGATGTAAGAATATAGTCAGGTGGTCAAGGCCACTGATACAGGAACAGAAAGGTTTCAAAAAGGCAGGAGAAGGGGAAACAGCATTCAGGAAGAGAGTGTGTCCCTGGGCTCCCCCTCACCTAGAACCAGAAGGAAGGAAAGAGGCAGCTAGCAGCCAGGCTGCTTTGTGGTTGGACAGGTGAACACATCCTTTGGTGATGGCTTCTGAGCAGAGCTTGGCTTTCTCACATGAAGAGTGAAGACATCTGAAGGAACAGGGGACAGCATTTGATATAAATGCAGGAGGGAGAAACATTCGACATAAAGAGATTGTCCATAAACCTGGCCAGGACAGGAAGTTAAGTAGGTTTTAATTCACAGACCAACTGTGATTCATTGGTAGAGGCTGCCTAGAGCATGATGCTGTAAAAGACAGTAAGACCACATCAGTACCCAGTAGAGAAAGAGTCCTAACTGAGCCCTGATATCTGCTAAGGACCAGGTTTCAAGCACAAACCTGCTATACTCTCACTCGCTTTGCTGGGAACAAAGACCCATGACCTTGCCAAGTCACAATTTGTAAGATTTTTTCCCATCTATACCAAACAGCTAAGGTATAAAAATGGATACTATCCTCCAGGTCTGTCTCTCTCTTGATTGTATCCTAGCATCCTGCCCAGTGACCATCCCATTGCATGTCAACTACTACAGGACAGATCCCAGACACCAAAAAAATACCAACACCTAGTAGATGGGCTATAAAGATATGTTGGACCAAACCACAGATAGTCAAGTTCATTCCATTCAGTCATAGGATATCTCCTGGACACCAGGAGAAAATTTTCAGTTTATCCCTAGAGCCAAGAAAATAAATATTGTGGAGACTTTTATTTGTTCAGCCATCTAAGGAATCCTGTAGCTTTGGTTTGGTTTTACAAATAGAATGCATAATGTTGGGACTGGAGGAGTTGGGTTGGAGGCATGGATCAGACTCAGGGGTTGACCAGATAATCTCTCTTTCCATTTATTTCCAACTCTGAGATCCAGTGGTTATCATATGCTCTGTAACCCTAGTATGTCATGCATGGTCTGAATAGAATTTTAATTTCTAGCATTCCCCAATTCTTTGACCCCTCACATTCTATTGTTCCAAAGTTGCCTGGTTCTAATATCCTGACATTCTGACATCATAGCATTCTAACATTCCACCAGAGTTTGCTTCACTCACTCTTGGATTCCTGGGAAGAAGTATAAATCTAAGAGCCTTCCAGGACCTAGACATCCCTTCTTGTTGGGCTCCTTCTACCTGCCCTGCATGAAGCAGAGGTCCTTGCTAGAAACAGGATTGAAATGCTCAAAGGTGGATGTGTGAAGACTAGATGCCTGTTACCCCCAAGTGCCCACATGTTCAACTCATTGAGCTGCAAATCCATAATCAGAACTATAACTGTGGGTCCAGAATATGAGTGGATTAGTGGTAAAGACCAGAACTTAAGAGAAGGAATAAGCGTAAGCCCATCATTCTAAACACCACTAATGTTTTCTTCTCTTTAAATAAGAACAACAGTGACTAGATAATGGTAAAGTATTTGCCTAGCATGTAGGCTGTAGGTTCAATCTTCAGCTAAGATAGGTAGGTAAGTAGATAGATAGATGATAGATGGATAGATAGATAGATAGAAAGAAAGAAAGAAAATGTATACATACATTTGCATACATTCAACAACAGCAGTTGCTCCCTGGAGGTGGTATTCTGTCCTACTTGAAGAATTCCATATTCATCAGCTCACATAACCCCCATCCTCAGGTCCCCTGGAGGAACATATTTGATGGACAAGTATATGGAGATGCAAACAGAAGTCAGAGGGCCTTAGCCTGCAGTGAGATGACAGTAATACTCTCTGCCACTTGTTCTGACAGCAGCCTCCCTAAAAAACACCATCTAGCTGCTACGTGGGGCCTCTTAATCTACTGAGAATTCCCATCCCCTCCTCTGTAGTATCCCAGACTTCCCCCTCAAAGCTCTGCTCACCCTGAGCATAATGTCATCTGCATCCATCCAAGCTGTTCCTGAGTACTGAGAAGGTGCTTATTACCCAATTGTTACATAAATGCATTCATGTATTGACCCTAGACTCCAAGGAGACGTTCCCTGTGCTCCTGTATTATCCCGCAGCAAAACCTAGCCTGGAACCCACACCTGCTGCTTCTGTGGTAAGAACCTAATTACCATAAGAACATCATGTCTGCCCTTTAGATTGACAAATAAAAAGAGAATCCATGAAAATCAGAGTCCCGGGTCCTGTTGAGTCAACTGTGCCAGTGGAGGCTAGAGAAAGAAGGCTGAGTGCTAAGAAAGAGGAGTTTTAGGGAGAGGAGGCAACCAGATAGGAAGAGAATGAGCAAGCAGGAAAGAAAGAAGACAAGGACAGCATTAAGACAAGGACAAGATGGCAGAAGAAAAAGAGAGAGAGAAAAGTCCTGCTGTTAGAAATGTCTGACTTTCTGGGATCCTCCGTAAGGCCTTCTAAGAGCCTTCCCTTCTCTCCATCTGCACAGGAGCTTAGACGAGGTGAGATGAGGTCCCCTCCAGTCCCAGCATTCAGTTTCCTGCTTGCTGGCAGAGGTTTGAGTGATTGGTAGTGAGTCAAAGAAGAGAGAATTAGTTGCAAAGTCCTTCATGTAGGTCCAGTGGCCTTCTAGTTCATCTCATCATCCCCATAGTCCTTAGGACCAGACCCACCTCTACCCATCCCCACCCAGCTTGTTTCTCTACTGAATGACATCAGAAATGGGAGCCCTTCAGAGCTCGTGGCTTGTCTCAGAAGGGCAGC